AAACCGTCCCGGGGGGGGGGGGATTGGGATTTCCAAAAAATCCCAGATCCAAATACTTTGCCAGCAGGGTATAATGCCTTAGAGTCCACCCTCCAGAGCAGCCCTTTTCTCCAGGGGAACTGATCTTGGTCATCTAGAGATCAGTTGTGATAGCAGGAGATCTCAAGGTGCCACCTGGACACTGGCAACTCTACTCTTAGTGCTTCTTTTGATTGCCAGGCAGAACAAAATCAAGTAGGCCTTTTCTGAGTGTAAACCTTTTTGGGAGACCGTTTCCTGTTAGCTAGCTGGTATTAATCTAGCTAATACAAGTTTTGGTTTGTTTCTCTGTTTTTAATAGCTCTAATAGAAAAAAAAACTTACAAACAGTTGTAAAAGAAATAACCAAGTTCTGAAAAGCTATTATTGCCTCATTTTTCATTTCAGACCAACTTGGCAAAACAAGAGGGACGTTTGAAAATAGCAAATGCAGAATTAGGAAAGGCTCAGGCATTATTAGATGAGAAACAAGCAGAACTGGATAAAGTGCAAGCAAAATTTGATGCAGCTATGAAGGAGAAGATGGTAAAATAGATCATTTTGTAAAGCATAACTTTGTTTTTACTATATGCACTTAATTTCTTCAAAATAGCATTAAGTGAAATGTTTCTTGCTCATTAAGACAAATCTTGACTATGGTTACCTAGGTAGTTACTATGTTATGTAGAACTTTTCCCTTTGGGGCAAAGTTGTGGAAAGCTGAAGCAAAATCCAGATATGCTGGTATTCTAGAGGGTCTGAATCCACTTGTCCTAGATGGAGTGATGTTGGCTTTTTCAGAGCAGGTTAAGAGCTTGGGGTGCTTGTGAACCCTGCCTTGCTGTTTGAAAACTAGGTTAGCATGGTGGCCAGGAACACCTATCAGTTGCATCTGCTTCACCAACTGTCTCCTTACCTAGACTCAGCCAATCAGGCCATGCTGACCCATGCTTCTGTAACCTCACAGTTCGATTACTACGACATGTTCTATGTGGGGCTGCCAGGAAACTACAACTGGTCCAGAATTTGGCAGCCAACTATTGTCAGGAGCTAGTGGCTGGGAACGTATTTTGCCCGTTTTGAATCAGCTACATTGGCTGCCAGTCTTTTTCCAAGTTTAATTCAAGGTGCTGGTTATGATCTGGAGCTACATATCTGAAGGACCATCTCTTTCCACATGTCCCTTTGCTCCAGCTAGGCTTGTCACGCAGCCATCTGTTGGCTATCCCACCATTTTAGGTGGCCTGTCTGGCACTGACCAGAGCCTGGGCCTTCCATTATGGCTCTGGTTCTGTTGAATGGGCTCCCTGAACTAATGAGGGGGGGTCCCTTCCTTGGAAATCTTCAGGAGGTGCTGCCAGGCCTGCCCATTTGCCAGGGCTTTTGTAGGGGTTTGAATCGTAGACATCTTTTAGGGGAAGGAGGGGGGAGATATATGGGGCTTGCTCTTTTCTTATTGGTTTTAACTGAAAACATTCACTCATTGTAGGCTGCTTTGAACAACAAAGAAGTGTGGGATATAAATGTTTTAACAAACAAACAAATAAATGGCAGAGAAACAGAACAACTACGATTTAGCTGACCATCACCAGAAGGAGCTTCAATGGAATCCCTTATATTATTCCGTGGAGACAAAGCTCTTGAGGTCCTACCTGCGTAGGCTTCATTTCTCCCTTGTGATTCCTACATTTTAATGAAATACAAAAATGGGGAAATAAAAAGGAAAGGGATACAGTTGACAGTGAGAGTTACTCATTGGCTTTTCTTTCTTTCTTTCTTTCTTTCTTTCTTTCTTTCTTTCTTTCTTTCTCTCTCTCTCTCTCTCTCTCTCTCTCTCTTTCTTTCTTTCTTTCTTTCTTTCTTTCTTTCTTTCTTTCTTTCTTTCTTTCTTTCTTTCTTTCTTTCTTTCTTTCCCTCCCCCACAAGTGGGCTCAGGGTGGTCACAACAGTTGTATCACAACACTATTGCAAAAAATAACATCATAATAAGAATGCTAAAACATACAGTTTAAAACAGATTAAAATCACTACAATAAAATGGCAGACCAATTCATGGGAGTCCAGAATGCCTCCTGTGGGTGCAACTAGGTGATCAATAAGAACCCAATTTGCCAAAGAGTGCTGTGCAGATTTCTGTATCACCGAGGGGCCATTAAGTAGGACAGTATGACCAAGGGAGGCTGAAATGGTCGGACGTCCACTGCCTCAGGCATTCTTTGTCCTTCCTCTCGAGGCTGAATAGGGATCCAAAGGGGTTAATTTGTTGTTCTGACAAGTTTACATGCCATGCCTTCTTACTTCTGACTATCTTCACAGTCTGTTGACACTTCTGCTAGTGTGCTCAGGTCTTCTGGCCCTGAAACAGGAGGGATACAAGATGAAAAGCAGTGGCACAGCAATATATGAAAACAAGAAAAAAATGGATGTGCCCAAATTTTAACACCAATAATCAATGAATTTATAATAGTAAGACATATAAAGTACTCAGAACAAATTTTCCATAAACAACAGGTAGAAATTCACTGGTAAAGTTGAATACAGGTAGAAATTGTACAACAGATCAAGGACTTTTTTGAATTTATTACAAATTGTTTGTGGAAAAACTCCACCTGTGGATTTCTACCTATATTCAACTTTACCAGTGAATTTCTACCTGTTGTTTATGGAAAATTTGTTCTCAGTACTTTATATGTCTTACTATTATAAATTCATTGATTATTGATGTTAAAATCTGAAAGAGGAGGGAAGCATCTGTCAGTTCTAGCTGGAAGTCCCTCCTCACACTCCCCATATCTCCCCTGCTTTCTCAGTTGGCTTCACCCCTGCACCTTCCTGAATATTTGGAATAGGTTCACTGGAGGTCTATTACTGTGGCTTTCCTCCAAGAGGTGACGGGGTATGGGGCCAATGTGGTGATTTATGCTGTATTAACTGGTACATTTTTGCTTTTCTTGTCCTCAAGGGGAGTCTTACATGCTACTATCTTGTCTTTCCTCTTTAGTGTGTGTGTGTGTGTGTGTGTGTGTGTGTGAGAGAGAGAGAGAGAGAGAGAGAGAGAGAGAGAGAGAGAGAGAGAGAGAGTGTTCTGGCCATAATTCTGTACCACTACATGAAACTAGTACATGGATGATGATAGCCATCTTTGCTTCTTTTCACCTGCCATTGTTCTTGTATCACTCTGTCATGATTGCTGTATTTTGACCTAGAAGGAATGGGAAGACCCAACACTTGATGGGGTCTTGAATCTTTGGCCACTTTCAGTGCCATCCTAAGCAGTGTTATAATGGACTTAGAAGGGTGTGACTGTGCTTAAGATGGCACTGTAAGGGTCCTAGACCTATTGCTGTTTCTGGAAAGGCCAGAAACTGAAGAGAACCAGTAGTTAAGAATATTTGTTATCAGCCATGTGTTGAAAATGCTATATTATATTTCAGCTCCAAACTAGCAAATATAATTTGTGCTATACAGGCCTTAAAACATGTATTTGCTTTAAAGAAGTACCGGTAAGTGCAGAAGAGCTATCAGGATGCTCATTTGAAAAGTGTAATGTCATGTGTGATTTCTTCATTTCAGGACCTTTTGAATGATGCAGAAATGTGCAGAAATAAGATGCAGGCAGCCTCTACACTTATAGATGGCTTGAGTGGAGAGAAAATTAGATGGACCCAACAAAGTAAAGAGTTCCGAGCCCAGATAAACAGGTACAGCATTATATATGCCAAGTAACAGGGCAACATTCATTTTAAAGCTTAGTGTCTTTCTAAAAGTGACACATTTTGGCTCCAATGGTACTTAAAATGCTTCACTTGCTGAAATGGTACTTAAAATGCTTGACTTTGATACTGACACTCTCTGCTTGATTTTGTACAACACCTAGTACTTTCCTTCCTAAGTATTTTAGTGCCTAGAAATTGGTTGCACAGTATCTTGTGCAATCAGAAACGCAAATGGGGATTAAGTATGACTTAGTGCAAGCCCCTTCCACTCTGAATCCAGCCCACTAATTCAAGATGAATAATGTTAACCTTTTAATACACTCAATGTATTAAATTCCTGATTCATTTACACTAATATAGATTTACACTAAAGGCACCTAATCTTAGACTGAAGCAGCAGACCAAAGTTCAAGTCCAGTGGCACTTTTACGACCATTTCAATTTATCTGAAAAAGTGTGCATGCACACAAAAGCTTATACCATGAATGAAATTTTGCTGGTCTTAAAGGTGCCGCTGGACTCCAACTGTGTTCTTTTTCTTACACTAATATAGACATTCATTTTTTCTTTTAGAGTCCCTTCTTCCTTTTGGTAGCTAGGAGCACGAGCATTACTTCCAAATTGTCTCAGGCTCTCATTACACAAGGCCCCTGACATGAGTCAGGCCAGGTTTCCCTGACTTGACTCAGTTAGATGTTTAAGAAGTGTTTCACTTTAAAAACGTTTGGGAGGAGGCCATTTTCCCGAGTTGGGGAGTGTCATGAGAAGAGGTTTCAGCCTCCCTGCTTCCCATTGCACTCTCATTGCTCTTAAGGTGAGACCCCTCTTGAACGTCTGACTGAGAGTCAATTCAGGGAATCCCAACCTGACTCACATCTGGTGTCTCGTGTAATGGTCCCTCAGTTCCAGTGGTTTTTCTTTGCTTTCTGCCTGCAGTATAAATCAGTGATGCTGATGATTAAGGTACTCTGGTATCCTGACTTCTATTGAGTCAGCTCACTGAAACAAGGGTTAGTGCTAGCAGATATTTCATCTGCTTAAACAGTCAGTCATGTGGTTTTAATACATATTTCCAGTTTTAAAACTCATAAGTAAAACAGATGTCATGCTTAAAAAATGGTTGTACCACATAAACTGAAAACTCATTAGCATATTCATTATTTTTTTAGACTTGTCGGAGATGTTTTACTGTGCACAGGGTTCCTGTCATACTGTGGCCCTTTTAATCAGATATTCAGAAATCTTTTGCTTAAAGATTTATGGGAGGCAGAGATGAGAGCCAGGAAGATCCCTTTTACTGAAAACCTGAACCTAATTTCAATGTTGGTGGATCCGCCTACGGTAGGTCTTAATTTCTGTTAATTTTTTGTGACTCTAATTTTTATTGATGTTTAGTGTGTAAATTATAAGTGGTATCAACTTGTCTCTAACTTATTTGAACAATACCATCTCTTTAGTCAAGCACTGGAACATAGTTTATATAAAGCCTTGCTAAACGTGATTGCTATTCCTGTAATGAAAATAGGATCCTGAGTGTTCTGTGAGCGGGTGCATGGAGGGAAAATGTGAGGGGAAACCAGTGAGACCTGAACCCTGGGGCAGCAAGCCTTTTAAGTTCCATTGTTGCAAGAGTTGCACAGCATTCACTAAAGTTTGTTTGTTCCACGCTTCAGGTTAGAAGCAGTAAATATTACAATTACTACTGATTGCTATCTATAGTTATTTATTATAGAACAGTGTGCATGGTATATTAAAGAGGACAAGAAGACAGGACTGAGAACTGCTGTTGCATAGAGATTAGAGTGTTGGATTAAGACTGAGGAGACTTGGTTTTAAGCTGTTAGCAAAGACAGGCAGTATATAAAACTTTTCATAAATAAATAAATCCCCACTCTACTATGGGTCAGTCACTTTTTATCTACCTCACAGGATTGTTGTGAGGATAGAATGGAGGAGGGAAGTACTGTTTATATCACCTTGAGCTCCTTGGAGGCAGGGGAATAAAACTGTAATAGAAAGACCCCTGCCTGAAGAGTTCTGGGGCAAATTATGGGATCACATTGGAGTCCGATTATTGCAATGCACTGTTGCGGGGCTTTCTGTGAAGCGTTAGTTGGGACAGAATGCTGCAGCAAGATTGCTGAGTGATGTCAGGTTCTCTGTGTCTTGCCATTTTTGAAAGAATTACACAGGCTGACAATGTGTTTCTAGTCCCACTTCAAAGTGCTTTTTATTATCTTTAGAGTCCTGTACAATTTGTCATGAGAGTTCCTAAAGGCACCTAATAAAATCCATTCTACCATTACTAGAATAGAGTCACAGAATCCAACCCATAGTTTCTTCACAATTGTCATCTTACGAATTTCCAGAAATGTATCTTAAAGTAGAAGGAAGAGTTACATGAAATACATATGTAGTCATTACTGTTTCTTATACCTCTATAAGAGAAAACTGTTCAGTATGTAGCACACAACATGTACAAAGTTCTTATTGGGCTGGACCCTGCTTACAATGTCCATTGCACAAGGGGGGCAATGATTGCTGATCCTCCCCTCCCTTGGCAGACCATGAACCAAAGCTATTTCTGGGTGGTCTCCTGTCCCCAAGGAGCAGCATTGGGGAGATGTAGGGCTGCAGTGGGAGGAGGAAGAGAAGGAGATCACAATTCTGTGGACAGAGTTTAGGCAAGATCCAAACCATTGAGTCCATCCCTGACTTAAGGATAGTTCACACACAGAAACCTGTGGGTGATTTTAAAGTAATTGTATACATGCTGTCACGGCTCAGGTGGGGTGTCACCTGACGCTGCCACCACTCTGGACTTAGGATCCCTTGAGAAGGCCTAGAGCACCCTCCCAAGATTTCCCTTTTGACTGAATAGTAGGCGTGAGGACTAGGCAGAGTACAAGGAAAAGGTTTATTTTATAGGAGGTCAAACAACAAGGTGCAGAATAACAGTAAGTGGGTGAAAATAAAATAAATCAAATGCCCTTACGCGTCTAAATATACTGTCCCTAGTTCACTATCTGCAGTGGCCTTAGACTACTCACCCTTCCCTCAGGATGAGGGTTTCTTCCCTGCAGCAGCCTTCCTTCTGGCTCTGCCCTCTGGGAAGAAGAACAGCTTTTCCTGCTGCTCCAGATCTTTTATTCCAAGCCCTTCTCTTTTCCTATTGGTCAATTTTGGCTCCAAAACCTCTCAGGGGCTTCTGGGAGTTGTAGGCCCAGCCTTACCTACTGCTAGCCAGGCTCCCTGGGCCTAGTAGGCCTCTGGTGGCACAGCCCAGATCACGACACATGCAAACAAGCCTACATGTAAATTAATGTACATTGAGAGGACTAGGACACAGAGAGTGTTTCTATGATCACAGGAGTAATTTTGCTAACTGCTGTTATCATGGAAATGGCTATAGCTGTCTTCATATAATAAAACACTTCTGACCTTGTAGCAGATAATTTTGCAGTGTATTGCCATTTATGATTTGCTATAAATTTAACCTTATGAAAAATAATTAAACACAGTAATTCTTAAACCTTGTATATAAAAGAGCCCCAAACTCTATGGCATTTTAAAAATGAACAATAATATCATTTGGCATAAAATTTAGTATCACTGTAGTTGGGTGTTTAGAGGGGGCTGTTTTTACAGCAAGAACAACACTGTTTATAAGCAAATACATTTTCAGCTGTACACTAAGATTAAGTCAATAAATGGCAATTCTTTAGTAATCTGTTATTCAGGTGCAAAGAGTCCACCTGATACATCACAATTTAATTTTAAAACTCACCAGTTTTCAAAAGTGGCCTGTTCAGGGCACTATAATAAAACTTCCAATCCTTGTGAAAAGGATGTGTGTCAAGTTACCATGATCTATGTTGATGGGGCTCCTGTTTAAGTATGGGGGAGAGAAAGAAAAATAAGGGATAGAAGCCAGACTGTGTGTTTTTATGGCTGTATATAGAGGGAGAGTGCATAGAATAAATGGACACATAGACCTTGGTATACATAGTTACACGTAGATGTGTACATGTGTACATGAGAGATATGAATATGAGTAGAGACAATGAGTGGAGTTATAGAGCTCTACTGTGGTCTTACAATGGTGGTTTTTCTGGCTTGAGGATATGGTAGCTCATCAATCAGCTTTTCAGAACTGAGATATCCAGATGTTAAACCTACAGGGCACTATTGCTTTAAGCAGGGGTCCCCAACGTGGTGCCCATGAGCACCATGGCACCCACTGACACCTTTTCTGGTGCCCACCAAGTGTTTTTAGGAAGTGAGAAGGGTCAGTAGGGCTTCTGCACAGCAAGGTTTCTGACTGACGATTGAAGATCTAATTGGCTGTGCAGATTTTTAAAAAATGTTTTGGCAGCAGCTGCCACCACAGCACAAGTATCTTCACTGTGTTATGAAGTTAAGCTGGGACAATCATTTTTTGGCTGGCTCTGCCTCCTGTGTCTCTACCTCCTTTTTTTGCTGCACCCACCATGCTATGTCAGAATTACAAATGTGCCCACAGGCTATTTAAGGATAATTTAGCCTGGATTTAAGGATAATTTAGGATAACATTTTCAGACCCAAAGTAGTTGTTATGGCTAAAGACCTTAAAAATATCAAAGCTGATAAAAGGTAGGTCTATCTTTCCTTTGTGCTGTGATCAAGATGGCTGTTGTTTCACTGCAAATTATTGTCATTGTGTTCATTACATCTTTAAATATACACCTGAAAAACAAATAATTCTGTTAGATCAAGATGGGTAGTCATATTTGTAGCAGCAGAAAAGAGTAAGAGTTCAGTAGCACCTTAAAGACTAACATAATTTGTGGTAGGATTTGATCTTTCGTGAGTCACTGCTCACTTCTTCATGTATCTGAAGAAGTGACCAGTGATTCACAAAAGCTCATACCCTACCATAAATTTTGTTAGTCTTTAAGGCGCTACTGAACTCTTACTCTTTTTTCTAAGTAATTAAGTATTATTTACTCAGGCAATGACTTCTTCTCAATATCTAGATTAGTGAATGGAACCTACAAGGGCTTCCAGGAGATGAACTTTCAGTTCAAAATGGCATTATTGTCACTAAGGCAACAAGATACCCTCTTTTGATAGATCCACAGACACAAGGTAAAACATGGATCAAACAGAAAGAAAAGGACAATGAGCTACAAGTAAGTGTTGCAAGTTTTAAATAAAAAATGTATGTTTCTTCTACCTGCAAATATCTGGTGGTGTTCCCCCCCCCGAAAACACATTTATAGTAAATATGAGTAAACCTTACACATTTACACTGTTGAAATATTTACAATAATTTGTTTTGGGATGGGTACCCCTTTCCAAAAAAGTCTGTGTCCTGAAATCTTGCTGATCAGTCAGACATTCATTCTGGGGCAACTTTGATTTCTTCTGATAGCTTCACTTCCAGGTATGTGTTTGATGTCTTACCAGACTTTTCCTGTGTCACACCATTCAGATAAGTGAAGCAGTTATACTCAGACCTCTTTGGTATAAGTATTTGATCTTCTTCGTGGTCTCTGTGCTTCACACGAAGGGCTTGTGGTACCCACCACATTTATTTGGGCATTTAAGATATTTCTAGCCCATTTTAGCATATCCATTAACTTCCCTGTAAAAGTTCAGTTTACAAGTGACTAAATAAAATTTCAGGACCAAAATTTTTCCACATGAAGTAGTCACAACACTGATATTAAAAAGTGTCCAAATGTCACAAGTTATTTTGAGAACCAGAACTCAAGAGACAGCAGCTTTTTGAAGTAAGGGTAAATACAATTACAGCCCTTGAAGAAGTCATACTTGTTTAACTGCACCGGGCATTCCCCAAATCAACTCGTGTTTAGCGTTATCATCTAGTCAGACCCCTAAATGGCCCCCACCCACAAGCCATGATCCAAATATCTTTTGGGTCCCGAGACACCTTGGAAATAAATAACAACAACAGTAACTTCACTGCACAGAGTTCCACATCTGTTGACATCTATATATCTAATAGCCAAGGTGCCCCCTGCATGCGGATACTTATTTCCGCACATCAGGGGCCCCTGGGGGGGAGGGAGATGCCTGCCCTTCTGGGCATGCTCACTGGGGCTCCTGGGCATGCTCAGTTGGGCCAGGCACGAAAATCCTTTTAGAGAACTTGCTAGGCACCGGCAGATCCAGCGCAGGCGCACTAGATCCCATTGGTGTGAATGCACAGATGACCACTCGAAGATCACCAGTTACTGGTAAGCAACCTGTTTTTCTCTTTTTCTCTTTCTGTATTATATCTGAAGGGCTTGTGGTACCCACCACATTTATTTGGGCATTTAAGATATTTCTAGCCCATTTTAGCATATCCATTAACTTCCCTGTAAAAGTTCAGTTTACAAGTGACTAAATAAAATTTCAGGACCAAAATTTTTCCACATGAAGTAGTCACAACACTGATATTAAAAAGTGTCCAAATGTCACAAGTTATTTTGAGAACAGAACTCAAGAGACAGCAGCTTTTTGAAGTAAGGGTAAATACAATTACAGCCCTTGAAGAAGTCATACTTGTTTAACTGCACCGGGCATTGTACTTTGATAAATTCTTCAACCTCTTTCCAGTTTGAGGTTCAGTTCTCTTTTTGCTTCTTTGGAGATGTCTCTATTGTCTCAAGAATACCTGGTTCACATATGCTTTGTGTTTATTTGCTTTACACATACAAATTGATCCACAAAACTATAGAGACAATCAGTAAAGTCTGGTTTTGTGACATATGAAAATATTCATATGATTTGATTTCAGATCAGAAATGAAATTTTACTTGCACATTTTCATGTAGGTCTTATCGACTGGGAATCAGGATGGGCCAGTGTATAGAGTCATTTGGGCTGTTCTAGACTTGAGACTCCTGAATTTGAGCACTTGCATCCTATAAGCATGTACTCACAGGGTGTCCTTGGATAAATAATTTTCAGCTTCATTGCACCATCTTTAGAATAGCAATCTCCCTCTTGCAACCCAAACTAACGTTAAAACTACGCGGGTTAAAACACCCCATTCATCACCAGGGGCAGGAGGGGTTACAATATCTAAATTTTCAGCCCCTGCACAAAAGGAGCTACAATCACTTGTGCAACTCTCCGTAGCCGAAGCTGTGGATCCTATAAAAATTTCAATTAAGAAAGTGGAAACAAATATGGAACAAATAAGAGAAAAATTGAGAGTATTCTACAAGCAATACAAACACTCATTTCAGAAAATATAAAACAAATTTTAGAATTGAAGGAGAAAACAGAAAAGATGGACTCCAAGATGAAAAAGATTGAAGAAGAAACAAGAAGACTTGATTTGAAGCAAGAGGAATACAAACAAGAGTTGATTAGGCTTCAAGTCGATAAAGCAGCATATGTACTGAGATTCCAGAATATTCTTGAGGAAAAAGATGAAGATATTGTCAGAAAAATGGCTAAGATTTTATTAGATTATATGCATGTGGAAGATGAAGAGATCCTAAAGGAGTTTGATTAAGTATTCATGAGAAATTCAGCATATGCGAGACGAATGAAAACTCCAAGGGAAGTACAAATTCGGTTTGGCAGCAGTATTATTAGAGATAAAATCTTGAAAGATGTAAATGCAACACCATTGAAGATGGATGGGAAGGAAATAAAAGTCTGGAAGGAAGCCCCTTGGAGGGTAAGAGAAAAAAGAAAAGGATACATCAAATTGACATCACTTCTGAGGGAAAATGACGTACAATATAGTTTGCTCCTTCCAGAGGGGGTCACTTTTATTTTTCCGACGAAAAGGTATCGGATAACATCTTTATTTAAGGTGGAAGATTTTTTGGCTAAATTTGGAAAAGAGATGGGCGCGGAGGAAGAAGAGGACTTAGAAGAAGAGGAGGAGGAGGAGGAGGAGGAACAGAGACCGCAAGAAGAAGGAGCTATAGGAGGGACAAA